ACATACATTACATACATTACATACATTACATACATTACATACATTACATACATTACATACATTACATACATGACATACATTACATACATTACATACATTACATACATTACATACATTACATACATACATACATACATTACATTACATTACATTACATTACATTACATTACATTACATAACATAACATTACATACATACATACATACATACATATATATATATATACGTATACATGATTATAAATGTATATGTACACATATAATCACATATATATGTACATAGTTAGATTCAACAAATTCAATGTGATACTGTACAACTTTGGATCTGACTCCCTGATTCCTACTCAGAATTGATATCCTGTCCCAGCTCCTGCGAGCAGTGTCTCTGTGGGGAGGTTGCCAGTTTGGATGACCCAAGGCTTTACCTGGACTTTGGCCTCACCAATCTCTTCGATGTGATCACAGGATCGAGGAAAGCGAGAGAAGAGAAGCCCCGTGACGGTGTTGGCCCAGACCCGAATGCCAGGCGCACAACGGTAGTTGTAGCGCAAGACTTGAAGGTTGGCCTTGGCCCAGTCGACCTCGCCCAGTCGATCGCCCGGTCCTCACAGGACAGTCCCGGATCGGCGCTGCAGATCAGATCGGTTTGTCCACAGGTGTCTGATGGTGTCTGGGTGTTTTTTTGGAAGGTCTGTGTGGGTAGATTTGACCCACTTTTCTTGAGATTGAGATTGCACGTGACGACGGACGACCACAGGAAACGTGAGTGAAGGGATTCCAAGTCATGGGTCATGCCAAGTGCAACTATGGTAACTACGGACATGGAAGTCAACAGTGAAACAGGTGGCCAGCTGAGTCCTTGTAACTCTTGGCTCCTCCTGTGTGCATCAATGATGTCAGCAAAGCAAAAGGCACACCCTGGATTGATCGTTTGACAGGTATCCCCCGCAACGGTGAAGCCATCTGGGCGCCGGCACATCTGAATAAACGCCGAGAGTTGGGCGGGGGCAAAGTCCTGCACTTCATCCACGTAGACCTCGTCATACCACGATCTGTTTGATAGCAGGTCACGGAGTGTCATCGCAGCATCGACTTCATCGCGCTGACCAGTGCGTTCCTTGATGATCGTGTACATAGAGAAGGCTCGGTGGATGGCACGCCGGTTGCTAGGTGTGAGTTGAACACCTTGCCCGCTCACCTCGTTTTTCAGGTAGTCGTCTAGGCTGATTCCGTTCCAGTGCCAACCAGTGAAGGGCCGCAATGCACAAGTAAACTCAGTCCACACAGTCTTGGCGGAGAGGGCCGACAAGCCACCACAGGCAGCCTGCAGGCTCGGAAAGATCTGAACTTCAAAGACCGAAAAGCTCATGGCTGATCCTGCTCCAAAATGAGACGCCAGCTGGTTCCATGAAAGGCACATCACGCCAGACTGAGGCGATGCCACCGACCCCATCACAGAGGTCACAGGGACACCTGCTGAGCTCAATTGTTGCACCACGCTGTCTTTCAACAGAAGCGATTTCGTGACGAAGAGCTGAGATGGCATTGGCCTTCCCTCCTTCTCCGCCTTCTCCCTTCGGCCAATGATGCGATGGATCAACACAAGTGTCTTGCCAGTACCCGAACGACCTTGAAGGAACAAGCTGTGCGGATGTTCCACAGCATCTGCTTGTTCACAAGAAAGCCGGAGAATGTCCGCTGTGTGACCGCCTGTCACCGGCAGGGAGGTTCCAACTTCTTCTTTTTCCACTTGCCGTGCAGCCTGAAATCGACTTTCCAGCTCCGCCAGGGCCTTCTCCACCTGAAAGCAAAGGCGCGCAGCGCATTTGGGCACCACAGCTGAGATCTCATTCAAAGATGCCGTCATCTCACGGATCTCCTCCAGAAGTTCATCGCTGGCCTCTACAAAGGATGCCTCTGCTTGCTGCACTCGGGACTGCAAGGCCCGCAAGCGCTGCACCAATTCTGATCGATCATCCTCGAGGGTGGCGGAGGAGAGCCACTCAGTGTCCAAGGGAGAAAGCGATCGCTTAGAATGGAAGGCTTTTGCTTCGCGGAAGAGTTGCGTGGCAAACTGCTGCCGCAGCAATTCCATTCTGACCAGGTGCTAAACTTGACCCTAGTGAAGGCCCTAGTGAGTGACCAGTGCCCGACCTCTTGAGTCTATTGCTTGAGTTTGTATGATCAAAAGCATCGTAATAGTAAAAATAGTTTTGCAATATCGAAGAAAACAAGATCATTATATTACTAATTAACTGTGTCTGTGTATATATGCACACACACACATTAAATAAAAAAGAAAAGGAAAAAAAAATATACATGTATATATATATATATATAAGTGTGTGTGTGTTGTGTACCTTGGCGCCTTGCGTCCCTTGGCACCTGCATCTCAGGTAAACCCCAAAGGCTGCGGATTGACACAGAAAGGCCGCTCAAAAATTCCTCCTTGCACTCTGACCTGCCCAAAATCCAGCACTGAAAGTGTCAGGGAAACCTCAAAGCCAATTGGTGAACCTGTTGGTTTGACACCACACGGTCCTTCCAAAGCCAACTAATTACCCAAAAAGGAGCTAGCCCAGTCTACCGAGTCGACCTCGTCGCGTGGACTGGGTCTCGCGTCGACTCCCATCCGCGGGGTGGTCCGCCCTGCATGTCCACCGTTCCATGGGTGGCATTCCTGATGTCGGTGGTGTTCCATGGGTGGTGTCGGAGTTCAGACTTCTGCCAGTGATGGTGTACGTGCGCAAAGGAAAACATCACATACATGCACTTGGCCGGTAGGACACCATCTCAGCTTCACCACTGGGACATCCCATTTGCAAACGTTTGTATTGTTAGAAAGCACCTCGTTGGTAGACCAAAAGCTGGCAGAACTCCGAAAGTTCAAGGACCCAAACATGGAACAACTCCATACAACAAATGCAGTTTGACTATGGCGTCGTACTTCCTTGACTATGGTGGTATGACCAACCACTGACGCCCCCCCTTCTTGCCGTATCTCCAGCGGCGACCGACCGGACCTTCACCGAGCGACTCGCCTCCGCCGAATCGAGGCATGGGGCGTGACACCGGACCCAGCCGAATGCGATGGAAAAAGGGCGTGAGAGTCGCAGAAACAAGGCCAAAGGACGGTGCCAAATGTGCAAAAAGAACGTGTTCTATAGGATATACATGGATATACTATAGGGAGTTCTATTGTTTGATATTTTTGGTACAAGTCCGAACTCGGTTTTGAGCTTGAGCCGCAAAAAGGCAGCTCGTTCACGTCCCCCTAAAATAGAAAATGCGAGCAAAACTTCTGAAATCAACAAGGGGGTCACGCACGACAGGTGGTTGAAACATCAAAAACCGCATCCACACACAGACTCTACTGGTCACGAAGTTCTTTTTGGGCGATGCGTGCCAGAAACCAATGGAAACCAGGTCGTCACCAAAGCCTTCCAAAACTCTCGAAAGTCTACAGCGCCATCGCCATCAGAATCAAAGACCTTCATCATATCTTCCACTTCCTCCCGCGGTCGATGAGAAGAATAAAAAAAACAACATTGCACTTCCAGCAAAATCACCTATGCTCAAACTGCACAAGAAATGGATTGATTAAGCACTATATGTAAACATAACACACGCATACACACAAATACATGTGTTTGTTCATGTTTGATGCATCTAAATAGACGATATAGGTATACAGTACAGTATATACACACTCTACATGTATATCAGTGCTCTGACCCCCTAACTCAAACAAGGCCACATGCAACACAACCCTATCCAACCCTGCTTCCTCCAGGCTAGCCTCAACCTCCACTCGTCGCAAGGCCCGCTGAAGCTCCAGCTTGTCAATGCGGCCATCGCCATCCAGATCCAAATCTGCGAAGATTTCAGCACCTTATCAGTCCATCAGACTCACACAGTTGCTAGCTTCATTGGAAAGACATGGGGTTGTTGGAAGCTCTCTCCAACCAAAGCACCTTGGCTTTTTGGTTGTTTCCGTCCACTCAAGGGTATGAGACGCTTGGAGGAAAGACAAAGCACGCCATGCCCACCGCCCATCAACATCAACCCCAACTGGTCATTTTGGACGATACCCTCACCTGCTCCAGCTGCGGCATCCGTCATGGCCACGCTCCCGCCCGCCTTGTACTCCCAATGGCCGCAGGCACCGTACTCCGCTTGACGGTGCATCTCCTCTGTCCGGATTTGGACCTCGAAGGGCTGCCCCTGACGTTCCGCGATGAGGTGCAAAGAGCGATATCCGTTGGGTTTGGGATGGTTGATGGAGTCCTTCTGCTTGGAGGGGCGCAAGGACCATAGCTTGGCCAGGATGTCACGGACCTCGAAACAAAGTTCTTCAGCCCTTTGTGCTGAAGGGGCGTCTAGGATCACACGAATGGCTAAACGATCTAAGATCTCTTCGAAGCGTAACTTCTTCTTTTCCATCTTCTTCCAGGTGCTGTAGGCCGATTTAGCTCTTCCAGACACTCTGAGCGCTGACAGATCTCTCAGAGGATTTCCCTTCTGCAAAGCCTCTTGCAGTTCTGACACCGCGCAGGTCACCCTGGCTTCCCCCGCAGGCCCGGCCAGGCGCCTGCGGAGCTCGCTCCGCTGGGCGGGTTGCAAGATCGCGAAGGAAGCGTCTTCGATCTCATCTTTGATCCTTCAGGGTTTGGGGCGGATGTGTTCTCCTCAAGTCGAAAGGACTCGCCTGCCTATGGGCCTATGGGCTATTTTCTTGACCACACTGGTTGACCACTTGATTCCGGGTGCACGCCATGAGGTACAAACATGCCTTTCCAACTTCCAAGCCAAAGGTTAAACACCTGGCCACACCACAACAACGCCCCACACCACAACTTGTGTCCTTCCCAAACCCAAGAGATTGGCCAAAGCCGCAAAGACCGCAGTCCCCAGCTCCGCGCGCCGTGCATCGACTTCTTCAGCGTGCGCGCCGCCCGTGCCGGGCGCGAGGAAGGAGCGCACGCGCAGCTCGGCGGACTTGTTGGCGAGGAAGACGATCAACGACTCTGTGGAGCGGCTCTGCGCCTGCTGCGCGGTCAACAGCGACATGGCCAGGTCCACCTTGCCAGGCGTCAAGGACTCAAAGGTGCGAAGGGTGCGCTCGATGGCCACGAACTGTTGAAGTTCCACCAGTAGGGTCGCCACTCCCTGACCAAAGGCCGCTTCCACCTGCTTCCGCGTGAGGGTCCCTTCTCCCAAGACCGGAGCACTGCCCACGGACAAGGCGGCGGCCACTAAGGCTGGGACGCTGGCTTGCAAGTACCTGAGCTGTTGCAAGGTGAGCAACAAGCAGCGCCGCTCGACTTGGGGCAAATTCTGCCAGCGATGCCGGACAGCTGCACTGATTGCCATCACACAACCCACAGGATAGGATGCGCAAAGGGCACTCACGGCCGCTTCCATGAAAAGTAACGTCACCTCCAGTTCCATCGCCTGAAGCGCCAGTGTCTTCACGCTTGAAGGTGGCGCTGCTTCGGTGCCCTGGGGCATCAGCCGAAAGGAGTTGAAGGAATTTCCAGGTTTGTCCAAAAACACCGGCTCCGCACCCACCTCTTTCTCTGCCTTGGTGGCACATCTCCGGATGCGGCACTTGCCCGAGAACCTCTTTTGACCACACGCCACTCCAGCGGCCACGACATAGGGGCCATGCCAACCAGGTGACTTGCGCGCTTGGTGGCGACCCCAGGATGCAAGGCTTGGCCGCCGCAGGATTCCGAGCCCTCCATCACGCTCCCAGAACGCGGTTGAAACGGCTGCCCATTGCATGTCGAAACGCGCATGCAACCCAATGTTTGCCAACCGGCCGGTAGGAACAGCACTCAAGTAAAGTTCCTTGTTGCGCTTTGTTGTGGAAAAGGTGCCCTTGCGGAGGTGTCAACATGGAACTCGAGTATGCAGATGTGGGGGGGGCAAAAAGATCTCTTAAATCTAGAAACAAAACATGACCAGTTTGAGACCGTTCACAAATGTGTGACAAGTGAAAATGGGTATTATCTGTTGGTGTACATGTGTACATGTTCGATGTGTGTTTGTGTGTCAACACCTGTCTCCAAGGCGGTAGCAAGTCCTAATTCACTTTCAGTGGGTTGTTCATCACATGCAGGAGATGCCGGGGAAAGATATGAGTCGAGGACGCTCGACTCACGTACCTGCAGGCCTTTTTAAACCTTTTCTACAGCGCTAACAAGCTTCCATCATTTCACCCATGTTCAAAAATTAAAATATTTCTGACCCAGCACTTCTTGCAGTTGAACCAAGTCAAGGTCTACCTGCAGTATTGTGGAACTTCGTCAACTGACTCAGCTCTTGCGAGCAACAATCTAAGTGTGTGCCGCCACAGAGTCCCACTGAGGGTTTCTCATTTTCTGTCGTGCAGTTCTCACTTCTCTCCGGTGTGACTGCCGTGGACTTCTCCGCCTCCATCTTTGACGGCCCCTACGGCATCCTATGGTCCGGCCCCGCCTGTTCAATATCAGGTGCCTCCTCTATGAAACGCGCCCTCAGAGAAGTTCGCTTTGCGGCCCCCGCGACCAAGCCTCCTGCAACTACTCCCTCCCCAAAGCGTGCAAATCCGGCGCCTCCTACTCAAGCGCAGCAGTCGTCGGAAGGAGAGGACAGCTACCACGAGGGCCAACCCAATCCCAGTTTTCGTACCCCACCTCGTCCTTCAGCACATCCAAAAAAAGTGTCCAGTACAATAGGGGCACCGCAAACCATCGCACAATATTTGTGGACTCCGTGCCACATGCTAGCCTCTGTGCCCTCCAGAGCAACCCAGGCTGGACGCACAGGAGTTGACGAGCACTGCTAAAGATTGGACAGTCGGATAATGTCAGATGCTGTTTGACACTTGGTCTCCTTGTTTGCTTGTCCTCATGTACGTTTCGCTATTGGGTGATATGCTTATTGTGGTTGGCACCCCTAGCTGGCACACATACTCTCTGATACCCGCCATACCGGACATGCTCGATTCTTTGGGTAGCAAAGCATTCGGCTCAAAGAGGTTATTCTCTCCAGGTACTCCAAATGGCTGCTTTGCGTCCTCTGCCGGCGCCGCCTTGGAAGGCAGTACACGCACCAGAGCCAGTTGCACTGGATGAGGGGGGTCAAGTGGATGTCACTCCTTATGTTCGCTTTGAGACAGGCCATAATGACATCAACTATGGGGTTTTGGACATTCAGGTATACTTCATGCATGAGCAGCCTATCTCCTTCACTATTTTTCGCTCACCCAGGACTATCCCAAAAACAAGCGGGCTGTTGAAGGATGGGTTGAAAATTTTGCCTTCCCGTCAGCTTTCCTGAAACTCATTTTGTCCGTTACGAAAGCCGCACCATTAACATCTTTGCGCAGCACTGTCTCGCTATCAATGATAAAGGCATTAGTGTCTATGCCCCGAATCAGGGGTACCGGCGGCGCCTCATATATCATGTATTATATCATGAATGACCTCTCCTGGAATTCTTCGATGCAAATGTAGCAAGCCGCCCACGAGAACCACTGGGTGACCCGCTCACTACTTGGGCGTGGGCCCGTCCCTTTAATGTGTTTCCTCGGCAGGCTGGACGATGGGCCTTAAGGGACCACATCGGCACCCAGATTTGTCGGAGGAGCAGGTCGAAATACACGGCCCCCTGTCAGATGCCAATGCGCCGCCCTTGCAACGGCAGACTCGTGAACACCACCGGGTTGACACGGCACTGTTTCAGAGAGCGCAAGCAATGATACTCTCGCTGCAGGACGTTCAGCACCTCCTACCGCGAGCGCCTTCTGACATACAGCGCCATATGGCTGGCCCGCTTACCACTTTGCACGCGGAGCTGAGTGGACTTCTTTTCGTTGCCCTCCTAATGGCAAACATCCATCCCGATGCCGATGATCAAGACGTCGGGTAGGCTCTAAAGGCCACAGGAGGGGCGCTTACGCCCCTTCCTGTGGCTCTTGGCTTTCCCTTCCTATTCATCATACTGATTCATAATTTGCTGTCTCGAAGGGCCTCCTCCGGTAAACGTATACCAGCACTGCAAGGGGCGAAAGAGGACCCTTCTCGTGGGTTGGGTGATGGGTATTTGGTGTAACAGCAAGTGAGAGGAACTGTTTGGTATAACTCGCCTGGATCGGAATGGCGCCTCACAGGCTGTTGTATGTCTTTGTGCACAGCCCTCAGGAAGATAGAGGAAGCCCCCTTGTCCTTCCTAACCTTTTCATTTGCTCGCTTTCCATGTACCAATAGTGCCCTCTGAGTGGGGCCTCTCTTTATCGGTTGTTGGCAATCCTTCCATTCTGGAACATCGGTTTAGCGTTTGGTCTAGCAGGCTTTGGGCTTTTGATGTGGGTCATAACTTTACATGACAACCATGTTTGGCAATACTCAATGTGTCATGTCTGCAGCTCCTTTGGCTCTCAGCAGCCCAAGTCACTTCTCTAGGAGCCTGTGCATGCTCTGCCACCTCAACCACATTTTGCACCGACGATGCCACAGCCATACATGACATCTCACCCTGATCCAGTTCAGACACCGTCTTTCTCACCGGTAGCTCCCCTCGATGCCACCTACGTTTACCCCCCAACCCACATCATCGATGATTCCACCGGAAGTATGTCTTGTACCAGCTTGGGCACCCACCATGACGACTCCTTCCCCTCCACCACCGCCCACAATGGCAACCCACACTGAATTGGCCCTACATTTCACAGCGTTTGAAACTCAAAGCCGTCACCGGGCCCACTTCTTTCCGCAGACTCCGCCGACGACTACACACTACCAACCAACCCGTTCTGTACACTTCCCACAAACTACACGCACTCACCGTCCTCCAGGACCTCACCAAGCACTCCAGAGCATCCTACGACGCCGCCCGCCACCTACGATCAGGCAAGTACACCGACTTGGAGGTATACGGATGGCCACCAGCCTGGAAGAACCAGGTCGCAGCCGTGCCCTACACCTACTCAACCAAGCACTGAAATATCGCAACCTGACACCACCCAAGAGCAATGTTAGCAATGTTCCTATGACCTTCCCATTTCTGGCCCACTCCGACTTCCAAGCCAACACACAACGCTGGCTCGTCAAGCTGCTTCAATGCCATAAGCACTATGCGATTCCTCTACACTTACCTACCTGCAGACTACGTAAAGCAGCTCAGAACCTACACGATCACCGAAAATGGGAAGACGCACTACAAGCAGCACCACATCATGACCCTACGACGCCTCCTCCAGCCTGACTACACCATGTCCAATGACGAGCACCTCATTTGTCACACTCCAGGATCTACAACTACCACCTCACCACACCTCCGACGGTTTCTGAAGGCCAACATGAACAGCGCTTTCTTCCCCACCAAACACCAATATTTCGACACCTTCCATAACGCCATCACCCGATGGCTCAAGCACCACGGGCTCCCCAATACACTTGCCACCCATGCGGAGAGCTTTCTCACACAACAATGGCAACAACATCTTCACCACCTACACCAGGACACCAGATTCACTGCCCATTCCGTCAAGCAATTACAACAATTCCTGGGAGACAAGGTTGTTCTTCATCATGCAGATCATGAACTTCAACATCTCCGCATCTTTTGCCCCCAGATCTACTTCCGTGGCAGCCTGGCTACTTGGCAATCCCCTGAACTCTATCGACCATTACCAGACGATACCGAGGCCACAGTCCGCCGGATCATTCAGCACACCTTCCCAGCTCACTTCCGCCAAGAATACAAATGGAGGTTCCGCGCTAAATTCACTATGCCTTATGGCGTAGTGCACTTGAAAGCCAACAAGCAATGGACCAAAGGCCGCGCGATCATTTCTTACTTCCAATTCCACTATGGCACCTTACTCAGAGCCACCTCCACGGTCCTCAACACCATGACCTTTCGCCTCCTTCCCCAGGCACCCGGCCAACTTTCTATTCCCCAGCTATGGCACCATTTCCATGATTACCTCCACCGCACACCCGACCACATTCAACTCCACGCCGTCAATGACGACCTGGTAGGGCTTTTCAACTCAGTACCTCAAGATCGATTGATTGATGCAGTCCAGAGCCTTGTTACCAAATGGCACCTCACCTTCAACACTCCCACCATCACCGTTGATATTCAAGCCACAGGCGATCCCCTCCAACTCGCCCACATTGGCCAGCACTACAGACGCCACCCCACTCAACGCACCATCCACGCAAACGACATTACTACCATCGCGGCACTAGCACTTGACGCATGCGTTTTCCGAGCGTGTACCACATATTTCAATCAGGTACGGGGGGGTGGGATTGGATCCCAACTCTCCCCTGCGCTTTGCAATGCCGCTATCACCCTCATCGAGCACTCTTGGCATCAGCGACACCACTCCCTCACGGACCACACCCAGATCTACTCCACCTACTACCGCTATGTGGACAACCGCTTCACCGCCTTCAACCACGACTTTCTCACCCATGCTTGATTCATCCCGACTTCTTTGGCAACCCAATGGAGCTAGAGCCTGTGGACGATATGCATCTCCTCGGATTTGACATGAACCTCCTCCAACGCACCATCACGTACATCCCACCTAATGCACCTTGGAAGATTCGAGACAATGCATCAGGTGGCTCTCAGCGACTACGGTTATCAGGACTCAACTCCAGAGCTCATCTCATCCACAAGTACACCTTTCCGACCTCGGCAATTGAGCGAGCACTTGCTCAACTAGCTGAACTGTACGTCCAAAAAGGACATGACCCTCACCTTTGTCATCGCGTGCTTCAGAAAATAGGTGCTGCGGCCCTCCTTGCACATCATTCCCCTTCCCTTCCCTCCTTTCCAGGCTCCTCGCTGGCTCCTTCCCTCCCTTTCCACCTCCTCCACCAAACCTCCTCATCATCTTAGCGAGCGCCGATTGCGGCTTGGTGTGTGTGTGTGTAACCCTTGGAATCATAGGGATCCTTTCGGATTGTTTTGAGCTTTTAGCAGGGGGGCTGGTTGTTCATGCAAGTACCAGCCCGACGAAGAGGCTTGCATTGAACACTGATATCGGTGGGGACGCTCACCGACGTACCTGCTATTTTCCAACCTTTCCGTGTGGCAAGAGGCTAAGCCAAGAACCTCACTGACATACTTTTCTGGTTGCTGCAGACATGCACGGAACGCCGTCATCTTGTCGCCTCGTCGGTTCGTGGCCTTTAACTACAGGAACTCTGGTTCCCTTCCCCTGGTCTTTTCAAGGATTTGGGTCTCTTAGGCTGGCGTGTGGCACCGCATTCACATCAGTACGCATATCCATGAGTGTGTTTGGCTTCGTGCCAACCCGGGATGAGCCCGCAGAGTGCCTCCCGTGGACCCGTCGAACGGGTGTACGCTGTTTCCTTTGCTCTGGAAACGTACGTGCCCACAGCGGGCAGCAGTTGGCTAATGCCGTACGTCCGATGATTTATGTCTCATTTTTGGAATTCCAAGCTGGCTCATGCCTTTACGTGACCGCAGCGGTCCAAGCTGGCTTAACGCCTCAACGTGGTCAGAGCGACCGAAGTACTTTTGAGGTTCATTGGAACCTGTTGGATCCTTAGTTTTTCAGGACCTACCGTGAGATCCGTCAGTTCTCTTAGTCTCACCTCACCCTCGGCATGGAGCTTAAAAGTTTGCCTCCCTTCGGGGAGGCGTGTGTGTGTAACCCTTGGAATCATAGGGATCCTTTCGGATTGTTTTGAGCTTTTAGCAGGGGGGCTGGTTGTTCACGCAAGTACCAGCCCAACGAAGAGGCTTGCATTGAACACTGATATCGGTCGGGACGCTCACCGACGTACCTGCTATTTTCCAACCTTTCCGTGTGGCAAGAGGCTAAGCCAAGAACCTCACTGACATACTTTTCTGGTTGCTGCAGACATGCACGGAACGCCGTCATCTTGTCGCCTCGTCGGTTCGTGGCCTTTAACTACAGGAACTCTGGTTCCCTTCCCCTGGTCTTTTCAAGGATTTGGGTCTCTTAGGCTGGCGTGTGGCACCGCATTCACATCAGTACGCATATCCATGAGTGTGTGCGTGTTCGATGTGTGTGTGTGTGTCAACACCTGTCTCCAAGGCGGTAGCACGTCCTAATTCACTTTCAGTGGGTTGTTCATCACATGCAGGGGGATGCCGGGGAATTCCATGGCTGGCATCCAACGAAGACACCATGGTTTTCCTGTGGTATGAGTCGAGGACGCTCGACTCACGTACCTGCAGGCTTTTTGAAACTTTTTCTACAGTGCTAACGAGCTTCCATCGTTTCACCCGTGTCCAAACATTCAGTTTTTCTGACCCGGCACTTCTTGCGGTTGAACCAAGTCAAGGTCTACCTGCAGTAAAGTGGAACTTCGTCAACTGACTCAGCTCTGGCGAGCAACAATCTAAGTGTGTCAACTCCTGTTTCTAAGGAACTCGACCACACTAAGGCATGCAAGGAATTAACCCAATTTTATCAACATTGTACAGTGCAGGGGGGTAGTGCACGACTGACAGACACTACCCAACGAAGACACTGTCAGTTCGCGTTGAAGCAATGTGGGGCGCCGCATTGTGTACCTGCACCAACTTTTAAAGTACTGTAAAGGGCTAGTGCTTTTTGTTCAAGCCTTCTGTTGCTCTGACTCAGCACTTCCTGCGGTTGATTCAAGTCAATGTCTAATTGCGTGTAAAGGTCTACCTGCAGTAAAGTGGGACTTCGTCAACTGATACTGCTCTTGCGAGCCTTTATCTAAGTGTGTGTCTGTCTGCGCGTGCTCAGGGGAAGTCATAGGTGTGCACCAAGTCTTTAAGCCAAAGTCTGCAGTTGACATTGCGCCGAAGGCCGGCACTGTCTCATCAGGAAGCCATCTGCATCACACACGTCACACACATGTCCCAATGCTGCATTCATCTGCCGGTACCCGCAGCGAGGACGATCCTTTTCCACTGGCCTACCTGCCAAAGAGATCCCAGAGGTTTTTCAGATGTGCTTGTGGCCCTGCATGAAGGATGGCCTGAACAATCGTCGTGAGGCCACCGACATTGATTGGAAAGCGCAATTACATAATACGGTGAAATGCCGGGCAAACAAACTTGAATGAGAGCGGCTCAATTGTCAGACCAGGCCCCGGGCATGATGCCCCTGCTATTCCCACCCCTACTTGAAAAACGAGTCTTGTGCAATCTTGTACATGTTTCACACCCGCTCCACACCCAAGACATCGCCTTTTCAGCAGCACCGTCAGGAGCAAGGGGCACCGGCCCTGGCAATTCAATGTGATCCAAAGCACGCAAAAAAGGAGCCGTGATCAACGTGAAAGGTCTCTTGGCCAGCAGAGGCATTGCAAAACCTTTTTTCACCGCAAGAACATCTCACCAAGGTCTGGCCGAGGTCATCAAGCAGGCAACACCATCTCTTAGATTCCAAAAACCTGGTGCCTCAGAAGTTCTCCTGGGGCTGGACGTTGAAAACGGTCCCACATGAGCATCTTCACCACCAAATCAGCTCCATTGAGGTTCAAGAAAGCGTCGTCCTCTAACAAGAAGTCGCCATAGCAGCACAAAGCATCCACTGGACTGTTTGCAGATAAGCGATGCTTCAAGGCTCTATGAACTTTACGAATTTGCGGATCAAAGACTGTTCGATGTGGATAAGTGAAGAGGTGGTCTACGTCCAGCAAAAGTTCTGCAAATACAACCCCTGCGCTGAAGACATCCCTACGCCGGCCGAACCTGGTGTTCCCGTACAAGTTGTATCCGGGCTGTGCTTCTACAACTTCTGGTGCGACATAAAAAGGGTTCCCCCGGTAGTTGAGAGTCTCATAAGTTGTCAAATTCTGTCCTTGATCAATGAGTTCATGTCGACGAATTGCTGATTCGAAATCGATGAGTGTCAGCTTGCCATTCCGATCAAAAATTGCATTTGGTTTCAAGCCGCCCTTGATATTGCAGTGAATGACTCCACGGTGCCAGAGGTGGTCCAAGGCCACCAAGAGCTGCCTCATGTAGCTGATAATCCCAGATCTATCCACAGGATAGATATTGGGACCCAAATCTGGAAAAACAAAGGTCAGGTTGCGCAAGGAATCATAGAAGTGGCTCTCTATTTGGATCACGTTTCTGAGACCTTTCAAGTCCTTGTAGTACAAGTTGAGCTCGTACACAAGTTGATCATGAAGGGATTCGTGGGTTGGCATTGTGCTGCTGAAGTACTTTTTGAATACAAGTCGGCGATTCTTACAGCGGCACCTCTCCACCAAAACACTTTCCTCTCTGTGTAATTCACTTTCGGTGACTGCATCTCCAAATTCAGAGGCAGGCAGTGGAGACTCTGGAATGTCCGTGCTTGGGCTCACTGAGACTCTGGGACTCGCAAAACCAAGAAGCCGACCCAATTTTGACAAAAGGCTATCCCCAACGACTTCAGCCTTCTCTCCTGCTGATGCATGAGGTTGCACCTTCACCTTTTGGTAAGGGTTGGCCCGCAAGGAGTCTTTCAGTGCGCGAACCCGTTCAACTCCGTACGCGACATATCCACCGTTGTCCCCTGCCTCATGGACATTGATGGTGCAGGCTGTTTGTGCGGTTAGGGTGGTTGCACTGGTTGCACATGAGCGCCAGGTCGCTGCTGATGACATTGGGTTGCGTCCACCCTCCTCTCCTGGCGCTATCTTCTCCAGCACATCTCTGGAAAGGTGGAAAGCCATGGGTCTAGATGACAAGACTGCTGCGCAAGAATTGAAGGAAAGCTACATCACAAACAGCTATGTAACCATGTTCGCCTACAAACTCAGAAAGCACAATGGCGCGTTTGCTTCATACTGTTTCATTTCTATTGGTCATGACCTCAACCAAAATGGCAACTGGGCCTTGGCCCTAAATCGGCCAATCTCATGTCAGACTGACACAGCATACAGGCTCCACTGATAGAATGCAAAAAGACATGGAACACATTTGGATATGTTGATTGCATTCTTGGCTGTAACGCCAGGTTTCTCATCTGCATTGACACACGCTGCCAGTAGCCACTATCACTAACCTAACTGCTTCAACTGGGCAAGCAAGTCCCAGCATGAGTCCCCATAGCAATAAACAGAAAGGAGGCATGGTCTTGACTCGAGGGAAAGGGCTTAAGGACCCAAGGACCCCCAACTTGAAAAAGTCTCAACTCATGAAACTGCCCTGGTTCCCATGGCTAAACAAACCCTGAAAGCAAGAATCAATGCAACTCGGGGCCATGGGGAAGAACGTTACTGCTAGCAGTATGACTGGAGGGGCAAAACAGGAACACGCAACGAGGAGCCAGCCTCTGAACCACATCTTGCCCGAAGCTCACCCAATCGAGTACGTGGGATGAATGTCTCAAAACGATGCGCATACGGGTAGAACATGGTAGCCTGGTAGAACAAACCAGCAGATTGCAAGCAGATTTCACCAATTATATACGCATAGAAAAACAAAGCAGCATCGTTGCGCTGAAGGTCTTTAAGCACACGTTTTGGTTGATGTATTTACGTGCTCTATCGTGCTTATATGCAAACAGCAAAACACCCAGCTCAGGCTCAAGTCACCTCAACAAAAAAACACAGCAGCGAACTCGTGGCCAAGAGATTTACACTTCAACACGGGTCCGTCTGCCCTGGTGGCGAAGCCATTCCGTTCGGGCTGGCGTCGAAGCAAAAGGTTGCTGGGCCTGCTGAGCCGCCCGCGACAGCTTTCGTTCTCCGTTCCCTTTGAGTCTCACAGCTTCGCACCAAAATAAGAAAGACCATCGATCGACGGAATGGTCCATTTGACCTGACTCACTTCCTATATGGCTGTATGCATGTCAAAGGATGCGATCCTGACGCCTTGCCAAAAACATGCCAAACGGGGGTGGCCCAGGAAGCTCGTCGATGTTAAACCCATGCATGTCTCTGCACCAAGGAATCCGGGAACCTTGGTACGTGAATAGAAATAGCACTTCTTGAACTGGCTGGAAAATAGTCGGCCATGGGAAACCCCTCCCAGCAGGCTCTTGACTCACAGCACCCCTGATCGCGCCTTTTTCCACCTCTTCTTCCTCATGCGTCTTGACCGATTCAACCTGGTTGTGCTCTGTGGAAATACAGCGGGACGGTTGAAATCTTCAGAATCATGGTGACATATGGTGGCGTGTCTACTTTGCGGGCGTCCCAGCACCTACAGTTCAGGCCAGTCCGACTTGCACTTACCCATGTTGCGAAGATGAGCTGTATGAGGTGGTGTCGACCACGGCGCTGACGTTGGACATCTTCTCGGCATCAAAAACTACTGTGGAGCCTGGAGAGTGCAGTCACCGCCAGCTTGACTGCCTGTGGTGACTGTCATCTGAAACAAGGGTGGCTTTAGTGATCATGCTTGATCTGGTCATGGCATCTGGGCATGCCGGCAATGAAGCTGGCTAAAAGAAAGCCGTAAGGGGAACCATGCTTGGCCGACTCTTGAGTGCTTAGCCCATTTTCAAACCCCAAGCGACAAAGAGATTGGAGAGTCACACTTGACCATGGGCTTGGCTACTGCACCACAGCCCAGTAAATCAGCATCGCGCTTGCGAGCTTCCTTGCGAAAGTGATGAAGAACTAGGAATTCAGACACTTTCCTGGCTTGGCCGGCTCTATTTGTATAATACGGCTGCCTGTTCGAGGCATTGAGGCGGGAACAGTCGCTTGCACTGCTCCAAATGGCCGCGTCGCACAGCAACCAATGCAACCAATTCGGTCACTGCAAGCCCAACCAGCATAGTCTCCACGCAGAGTCTTGAAGCACTGGGTTCATGGCTTCAGGTTTCGAGTTGGAGTGTCCGGTCCTTCTTACCCCCTCCCGACTCCAAGGCCCATTACTCGATCTTATAAGGACCCACTCTATACAGCGTGTTGGGAACCTGGCCAGCTGATGATCCTCGCCATGTGACAAGCAACAGCTATGCCCGGCGAAGGGTTTCAGTGCACGCATGGCAGCCATGCACGACAGCGGCACCAAGACCTGTTCAGAAAACTTGGAGAACCCTGAAATGGAACGACCGCATGTTTGAGGCCATGGGCACGGGAGGGTAACAAAGCGGGTGTGGAAGTGGATTGCAAGGGACAAGCATGCAAAACAGACTCGTCTCTACTAGGCCTTCAAGATTCAGTGCACATTGACAATGTCACTGGGAGCCATGCAAACGACTTTCAAAGCAAAGAAGTGGCTAGCAACAGTATTTTGATGTGTTTTGGAAGGGCTCTTTTAAAGAGCCTCTTTAGTCTATATAAGTTTGGTGTGTTGGGATCCTAGGTCGTGGGCAAAACCTTAAATGACTTTGGGGGCCCAGCTTCTTTGGGGGCCCAGCTTCAAGAGGCCGTACTGTCCTCATCCGACTTGTGCTGTTCGACCCACCAGAAAGGGATGCCGCATGAGCACCGTTCATTTGCCTCACACATGCGCCTTTCACCGGTGACCTCACATGGCCAAGCTACGGAATCGAAAGCAGTGCCGAGGTCTCCGAAGCACTGGGCAACGCCAGAGCGGGACCCTTTTCAACAGCAAGCACCTGTGTTCAAGCTCGAACGCGTGCGGAACGACGGCGCTGGAACGACGGTGGTTCGCCGAAGGCGCACGATCAATCGGCGGCTCTGGAAACCGTGTCAGGTATTTCCCCGTCAGGAGAAGCCGCGTCGGGCACCCCCTGGACGTCTGAGCCAGGTGACCTTGCCTCCGAGCTGGACAACGCTTGGGGCAAAGCTTTACTCGAAATTCACGGGGCACGGGCACAGGCCTGACTAGGCTCAGGATAGCTCAGGGACATCTTGAAAGCTGCAGGGCCTGATGCAGGCTGTGGGAGCAACAAAAAAACCCGCAGCAATATGCGAGGGAGCTTACCTTTTTGCTCCTTCTATTAGCCTCCTCAGCAGCCAGGACACGACTCCATTTGCGCGCCTCTGCGATTTCCATGTTTGCACCGAGGACCGGTTTGTGTCAGAACGGCGTGTCGAGTTGGAAAATACCGAGGGAGGTGATCTGGGCAGGAGAGAACGCTGGCAACATGTTTTTTTAAACCTGGCGTCAATGCCAGAAGATGCCGGAGGGCAACTACTTGTAAAAAACGTGAAACACACCGAAGAGGGCTTTCTCTGGCAGTCGGGTCAGGATTAGAATTTTAAAACTGAAGCGAAAACACTTGCCGGAAACTGCTCTTCCGGGGCAAGGCCATGTGGAGAGCCTCACCTGGATGAAGAGGCAATGCGATTGGCCTTGTGACACACCTTTGTGCTGCTGGCCTTGTGACGCCCTGTGTGTCGAATGGCCTTACGATTTAGAAGAAAGAAATTGAAAAAACATATTGCTGATGCGGCGTCTTGGGTGGGTCTAACGGTCCGGATTGAAAGGAACCGCTTCTGCAGTAAGTTAAATGTCTGATTCTTGCCGTTTGGAGTCTACATTTCCAAGTTCCAGGCCTCATGTTGCTACCTTTTGCTGATTGGCACCTGCTGGGTGAGCCGCTGCGCCCTCAGTATCACACCTCCGGTCAACTGCCTCCCAACCAGCATGGAAGCCTTGAAGCCTGCAGGCAAATTCCAGATAGTTCCAGCACCCTCCGAGCACCCTGTGCTGTTAGGTTCTGGGAAGTGCTGTCGGGCCAAGGGACCAGGATAGCATCAAAAGCACGCCACGCACACGCCACGTGAAGTGGTGCTTTCTGTTGCGCTTGGTCATACACGGGCGCGTCGGGTGTGTGTGGAGAACCGCCCAAATCTCTCGTCTGTCCACGGTGGGCCCGCAGGTGGATGGAATGCCGGTGAAGCGACAGGTTGGGAACAGAAAGCCCTCGGCACAGTCAGCGTCAAAACGCATGCTTCAACTTGGCAAAGGACTGTCACCTGATGGACCATCATGATGGGAGCATATTGGAGCTCCATCAGGTCCTGTGAATGATTTGCCCATTCTGCAGCCCGCAGGTTGCACAATCGGGCTCTCGATCCGCCAAAATGCAAGACAAAGAGATTGCTCCGAACGAGTTTCTTGAGCTTGTTGTAATTGCCACAATGTTCAAGACGAATGGAACAACACTGGCCTCATCATTGGCAAAGCTTGCTTGACGTAGACATGATATTGCGTTTGCGTTACGGCTGCTGAATTAATGAGCTTGACTTGGAAATGTCTTGTCCAGTCAAGCAGTTTGACACCATGTCCATGTTCTTGAAAACAGATGACCGTAGCATCGCACAGGCTTCCCATCAAAATCAAGCAACACACTCTACTCTACTACTTCAAGATTGCTTGTGCCACCGGGACACAAACACAGCAACCGGACAGGCCCCCCGCGACCACCGGCTGTTGCTGTCCTGTCTGCACCTGGTCCAAGCGACGAAGACAGCTCTACCAAGACTTGTCTTTGGCTGGCGGACGAACTAAATGGGACGGACAGTCAGCAAGATACACTCTGGATGTGCCTAGTGATGTCTAGTGACTAAACTCACATTTCACAAGATGTTGACCCCAAGGTCCTGACATGTTGGCGGTCACTCGGAGACCAGAAGCGGAGAGCCGCGGGTTTTTCTCCACCGGTCGAGGGGCCACTGATCAAACACGCCGTAGGCACAAAGCAACACAAGAAGCCATCCTGAAGGCTTTGTGACCACGTATTCGACGTGTTTCTGCCGAAATTCAGTAAGTGAGTTCCAGCCCGCTTTGAGAGCCTATGCCTCAGCTGTTCAAGCCAACTGCGTTCAAAGACCAGTGACAAAAGCCGGCGGCTGTGCGAACG